AAGTGCCAAGCCTGTCACTAGCAGGAGGGATATCTGGTCAGTGAGGGAAGAGGTATTGGTAACGGCTGGGGACCTGTAGGAGGAGATCATAGGGCAAGTGAGGATGTAGTGAGAGAGGGTGTGAGAGTCAGTTGACCACAAAGTTTACAAACAGTGCGGCCAGGCTCAGGGTTGCCAATGTACTAGGTGTGGCAAAGTACAGTGGGGGTGGAGGTGATATGGTGTGGTGGGACAGGTACAGTAGGGGTGGAGGGAGGCACATGGGCATTGACAATATTGAGGGACATACCTTTTAGTGTGATTGTGATGGCGGTGGGGTACGGGTAGCCAGGGGTGGTGTCCTCAGGTCCAATAGGTAGCCCTGGTGGAGACAGCGCAGACACAGAATCGGGCGCGGCTTGTGGTGGGTGGAGGACAGGTTGAGGCACCACGTGTCGTGAAGATGAGGCAGGACCTTCCTGGGGGGGCAGCATGACACACCAGGGCAGGCCGGTAGGCACTACACCAGTAGTGAAGGCCGCCGGCGGTGGAGTAGGCCGTGAGCAGCGGGAGCTTACAGGGGGACTACCAGCTTGTGTCAAACCAGAAGAGAAGAATGACTGGGTGGCAACAGAGGGCAAGAGTAGGTCGGAGATGGTGGAACAGAGTGTAGCGAAGAGTTTTTCAATATGGTTGGTACATTCTTGGAAGAGGGATATGATCTGTGTCATGTCACTGGAGGGGGGTTGTGGGGGGTGCACCGGTGGGAGCACAAGGCCTGACAGCGTCAGAGTACAGACGGGGAGGAGGCCCAATTGTAGTTGAGTTTGGAGACGGCCGGGACTGCTGTGTTGCAGCCAGGTGAGGCCAGGCAGGGGCAGTGTTGTTGAAGAAGGCGTTGCTGGAGACAGAGGGGACAGAGGTGTGCCCTGGAAGATTCGAGGGGGGTTGGGTAGACGTGCTTCGGGGAGGCTTTTCCCCTGGGACAGACGGGCGATTGGGGCATTGCCGTGAGTCAGCCCACACCACCCCTATTAAAGTGGTCTTTGATTTTCTGGGCACAGGCGGCGGAGTTATGGTACGTGAACAGATGCGACATCTTCGACGTTCACTTCGGCAGCAGGCAGTGAAGATGTGACCCCAATGAAAACATAAAACACAAAATGTGGGCCCAGGATGATAGGCTTCTGCATACAGTAGGGGAGGAGTGGGTGGGCTTCCACAGTGGTTGGGCATTCCCTTTCCTTCTACTTGACAATGACGGCAGCTTGTGGAATTTTCCCCGGGTAATGTCGACGAATACTGAGTATACTAGAATTAAAGTCACGCCCATCTTCGATGTCAGCGTATAGGGCGAAACGTTTCACTAGGATGTCGCAACATTCATCAGCGTTTACTAGGGGGGCACCAGAACAACCTCGTCAAAGCTAACAGTATTAAATGTTTCATAGACCTCAGGAGACTGACACTTGATAAAGTTCTGGTTCTTACCTTGTCGGAATTGAATGATGAGACCATGCTGTCTGCAGTACTTCATCATCCAATTAAAGCGCAGATTAAGCTTATGGTTGGCAGAGGGCAGGGTGATTGGGTCCGTGGCATTAGTGTTTCCACTCCGGCTAGTGTTTCCCATAGAAACATTACCGTCACTGTCATAATCACTGGGATCTGACTCTTGAAGGGTGTTGGATTCAGTATGACCAGGGGAGTTGGCGATGGCATCCGTATCAGAGATGTCTGCGTCCATGAGAAAGCCTCTTCTGGGACGTTTGTGGGACGATCAGGAAGTCAAGAGCACCTATTGATGGTTACAAGTGTTCCCCAAAGAATGCAGTGATGGGTAGGGAAACACTGAGTAACACTGAAGTCCGTTTATTATGGATGAGAGAAATACAAGTGGTGACTCGCGTGTGCCATGCACGGCTCACACAGTCAGACTGAGGCTGCCTTGCCATATGGCAGCCTCGGGGCAATGTTGCCACATAACACGCAGTGTTGCCACGTGATGATATATATAAATGCTACTCGGCACAGTAGCTTATATACAGGGTTGCTACTCGGCACAGTAGCTTATATACATAACCTACATCTCCCTCCCCCCTCACGCTCATAGTCTTTGTCTTGAGCGGACTTCTTAGTCCTAAGTCGCTCCGAGCGTCGAGGTGCACTGTGGGGCGGATCCTCGTGAGGTGTAGGTGACTCGTCCACGGTCAGGGGGCCAGCAGCAGGGGGTGGGACTGGCCGGAGGAAGCGGCGGTTCCTCCACCAGACACGGCCGCTCGGCATCCTGACCTTGTAGTCCTGCGACCGGCCGACGCCCATCACTATGCCCACCTTGACCCAACGTGTCGTCGTCGGGTCCTGGACGCGGACAAGGGCACCAATCTCCAGTGGCTGAAGAGGGCGGGCACGGTCGTCATACCGAGTCTTGGCGTCCTGGGCACGTGAAGCGGCGCGGCGGTCACAGCTCTCGGCTTTGGTCTGCCAGTCCTTCGCAAAGGCCTTGGCATGTGTAGGAACGCAAGAGCGGAGAGGGTGACCATACAGGATCAGGGCAGGGGTAGCCCTGGGGCGTGTGGTCGATTCCACCCTCCTGATGTGACTCCGCTGCTGCTTGGGGCTGCGTGGGCCATCTGGAGGGGGCTGCGTGCGAACCACCCCGAGGGAAGTGCGCTGCTTTCCTCCTCGTCTTGGGCTTTTGGGCTTGGGTTGGCGGCAGCACTTGTCGTAGTGTCCATAGCGACCACAGGCCTGACACTTGCGGCCTCATGCAGGGCACCTCTATGTGTTAGACCAGTGGCCCTTACGGTCACATCCACGACACAGTGCGTCGGCGGCCGGGCAAGTCTTGGGGCCGTGCTGCTTTCCACAGCTGCCGCAGGAAGCACTAGGCGGAGGCGTGGAAGAACGTGCGGCAGCCTTCACGTTGTTGGCCGCCTTCTTATCCTTCTTGTATTGTGAGATAGCTCTCACAGCAGGTGGGGCCCGTAAGGCAGAGGTGGCGGATTTGGTGGCCTCGTATGACCGACATTCAGTCACTACCACCTGGAGTGTGGAGGAAGCGTCCAGGGGGATGAGTCGCTGCACCAACTCTTCCTGCCTGACACCTGCCAAGATCCCGTGCTTGATCCAGGCTTCCTCACATTCCCGGCTGTGCGCCTTGCAGACGTCGATCTCCTCTGACAAACTCTTCAAACGCTTACAAAAAAGTCGTCAAAGGATTCGTTCTCCGCCTGCTTGCAGCTGGTGAAGGCGCGGAGATGCAAAGCCTCGTTGTTCCGACCCTTAACATGCTCCTGTAAAAGGTCGAGCACATCCGTCACTGAAGAGGTAGAATCAGGAGGCACTTGCAACGTGTGCTCCAAAACTCTCTGGGTCTCCAGCGACAAACACATCCGCAGTTGGATGAGCTGTTTGTTTGGAGGCATGCTGTCCAGGTCCACCATCGTGGAGTAATCTGTCCAACGCCGCCTCCACTCACGAAAAAGCTGAAACGTGACGTCTGGTGAGAGGGCGGGTGGGGGTTGAACAGATGCCTTGGGAGCTGTTTGTTTGGAGGCAAGAGTACCTGGAGGACGCTGGTGTGGTGGAGGAGGGAGGACATTGGCGCCTTCATGCGCGCTACCTGCGAGTGAGGGAGGGTGGGTTAGCGCCAGGGTCGCCAATAGTGCCTCAAAACGCAACTTTTCCTCCTCTCTTCGTGTCTCCTCCCTCTGAAGTTCCATCTCTCTACGTCTCTCGTCCCGGTCGTCCATCCACCTCAGAATTGTGGCAATGTCCGTCACTGGAGGTGGAGGATGAGAGTCTGCGCCCGGTGGAGGGAGAGGTGGTGTAGGGGAGTCGTGTCTCCATCTTGACGTTGTCCTTCTTACCTCCCATCTTTTGTGTGTAAATGGACTGCACTGTTTTAGTATATAAAGTAAGCGCCTCAACAGCTCGAACCACATATATATGACATAAACAAGCGCGGCTCTTAGCATAGAGTCCACTGTTCTGTCACGTATTGAGTGAGTGCGTGCGTGCGTGCGTGCGTCGCGGTAATGTGTGTGTCTGTGAAAACAGATGCACTTCGTAGTAACCTTAATGCCGGTGACTAGAACGCGGCAGAAATTGAGACAATCGTGTCTTCCGGGATGTCCTGCAAAGGAAAGGGTGTGTGGCTAGATGCTCTGTGGGAACCACAAACAGGCCAATACTCGGCGCTCTCAGCTCTGAACACACACTAATACGCTGACACTAACACTGCCACCGTCACTAAAACGCACTGTGACGGAGCAACACTGCACATCGCGGCAGAAACACAGCGCAGCACAACACAACACTATGAGTCAGCGCTCATGGCCGCGCATCACGGCAGGCGTAACTGTCTCGGCATAGTTCACACCTTTTGTAAGTCTACAGATCGGCACTGCGCCATGAACAGTTACAAGTGTTCCCCAAAAGAATACAGTGATGGGTAGGGGAAACACTGGTAACACTGATCATTTAATATGGATAGAGAGAAATACAAAAGTGGTGACTGCGTGTACCATGCACGGCTCCACACGGTCAGACTGAGGCTACCTTGCCATATGGCAGCCTGAAACATCTTGCCACATAACACGTGCAGTGTTGCCCGCATGTTAGCTCACACAGTCAGACTGAGGCTGCCTTGCCATATGGCAGCCTCGGGGCAATGTTGCCACATAACACGCAGTGTTGCCACGTGATGATATATATAAATGCTACTCGGCACAGTAGCTTATATACAGGGTTGCTACTCGGCACAGTAGCTTATATACATAACCTACACCTATAGGCACGTCCGTCCCCTTATGTGGTCACGCCACGACTGAATGTGTACAGGAGCCCCGGGAGTGATTCGCTTGACCCCAAGTTCACTTTTAGCACAGTTAAGCATCCCGAGTCACTTATGGTGTGGGGTTGCTTCTCGCACTTTGGAACTGGTGATCTTGTTGTGCTACCTAGGAACCTGATGATGAATCAATTTAACTACTGATATATGTCATGGCTGATATGTTCTAGTTGGTATGTTGTAACTGGTATGTTTTGGCTGGTATGTTCTCGTTGGTATGTTGTAACTGGTATGTTCTGAATGGCATGTTCTGGCTGGTATCTTCTGGTTGGTATGTTGTAACAGGTATGTTCTCACTGGCATGTTCTGGCTGGTATCTTCTGGCTGGTATCTTCTGGCCGGTATGTTCTGGCTGGTCTGTTCTGGCTGGTATGTTCTGGCTGGTATGTTCTAACTGGTATGTTCTGGCTGGTATCTTCTGGCTGGTATGTTCTGACTGGTATATTCCGGCTGGTATTTTCTGACTGGTATGTTCTGGCTGGTATGTTCTGACTGCATGTTCTGCTGGTGTTCTGGCTGGTATGTTCTGGCTGGCATGTTCTGTCTGGTATGTTCTGACTGGGATGTTCTGACTGGTATGTTCCGTCTTGTATGTTCTGACTGGTATGTTCTGGCTGGTATTTTCTGACTGGTATGTTCTGGCTGGTATGTTCTGTCTGGCACGTTCTGGCTGGTAGGTTCTGGCTTGTATGTTCTGGCTGGTAAGTTCCGACTGGTATGTTCTAGCTGGTATGTTCTGGCTGGTATGTTCTGGCTGGTATTTTCTGACTGGTATGTTCTGGCTGGTATGTTCTGACCGGTATGTTCTGGTTGTATGTTCGGTTGCAAGTTCTGTCATTTAACCCTCCACCAGCACTACGAACCACGCCATCTATTGTCTTGATCTACCCCTTCCTGAAACCGCCATCTACGGACAGACCACAATCCTTGACTGCGTCTCAGATTACCACTCGGGGTTTCCCTTCCTCTATATCCTGGTTGTTATGTCACTTCCTCCAGTCTTCTTTGTGGGCTCCAATTCAAGGAGAGAACTTGGCTCTGGGAAATGACCACAGGAATCTCATCCTCAGCCTCTGGTGCAGTGACTACCTACCGTCTTCTACAATACTCAGCCTTACTCATCCAGCCATCTCAGCTCTACTTGCAAGTATTTGCTCATCTTGTATTGCCTCCCCCGTCCACTTGCTTCCACAAAATTGTTTATGTTGTATTTAATATCATATATACTGTTGGCAATGTTTTAGGTTAAGGTTTGGTTAAGGGTAATTTATAAGCTGAATATTTTTGTTGAGATTCATGGTGCTATTATACACAACTGACTCTATCCATCTACCTTTTATAGTCCAATTGTCTTTGTTTTTTTTTTTTTTGTTACTGTTGGGATCTGGGTAGGCGATCCTTCTATTACAATCTAACTCATGGCAGCCAGCCGACCGTGGGACCAGGAACCCTAAGTACCACTCCTTCCTCCTTGTAACTCCTTGTTAATTATTCCTCCAGTCACTTCTGTTTACAATTACTTTACGGTGGTTTTTAAGTTTCCTTCATATGCAATGCATATATTGGTATTACCGTGCAATAAAGAGTGACGAGCGTGAATATTAGGTTCAAGTGTCGCAAAACACTGACTTATTTATTACCGCGTGGCAGTCGTGTAGTAAGTCTTATCGAGTGCGAGGAAAAGTCGGATCTGTTCATGCCGACCTGCCTCTATCAAAGTAGGCTGCTTCCGTAGTCACTAGTTTAGGGTGAAGTGATATCTTGGGGATGCCCGCTCTACCATGACCCCCATATTCATAAGCCCTCAAATTATTGGTATTCCTCATTATCTCATTCAGGATCCAATCATACCATTTATCAGGGTTGTTAATCCGGATCTTTACCTTGGCCGTATTTTGCTTCTTCCCCTTTCAAGTATATCGGGGTTGTTAATCCGGATCTTTATATTAATGCGTAATACGCCCTTCCTGTATATCAAGTTTGTTAATCGGGATCTTTATATTCTTGCCATGTCCACCCTACCCCTTTCAAGTCTCTAACTCTATCTAAGGATCTTCTCGAGCAGCAATCATAAGTGTTTTCCCTAGGTACTGCTTGGTTGAGTTTTCGGGACTTTCTGGTTATCCTGCAATGATATTTTTCTGCGGTTGTCATAATCTTATCTTTGGACCCATTAGTTAATTTATCCTCATGCACCTTAACAATAGCCACCTCAGGTTTTGATCTCCAGGATTTTATTGAAAATCCTTCCGTAGCTAAGTACGTGTTGTATCCTGAAGAAGAATGGAAAGAAATAACCCAACTATTATATCCCATTTTTCACAGCAACTGACTAAGGGAAATGTTAAAAAATCATGTGATTGAAGTGTTGTGGTTGGCAGTTCAACAAGAAGTTTTAAAGAATCCGCTGTTGACAGATTATAACCCATGTCAGAAACTTCAACCACTATCACCACCCTCCCCTCACTCCAGAGAGGGGATTGCCTCGGGTCTGGCTAGCCCTCAGAAGAAACACAACGAATAGGCAGCTTAGAACTAGAACGACTACTTTGGTTCGAGTTCAAATCAAAATGAAAGAACTCAGAGTTTGGAACATGAGTTTAGGTGAGGCCAAGTTGGGCAGGAGGAAAAGGATTAGAACAGAATAAAGTTGGAGCATGAGGAAATGATGGAACAGGCCAGGATTAGACAGGAGGTTGAATTCTGGAAAGAACTACAGGTAAGAGATAGAATGCTTAACATCGGAGTTTAAATCAAAAGAAGTGGCATTAAGAAGGCTTCAGCTGCTTTTCAACCTGCACCTTCTTCCCTTTAATTTCCCCAGGTTTGATGAATCCGATGGATAGGTCATTAGGACTTTGAAAATAATAAGGAAAAGAATGGTGGCCAAAAAACCGTGGGTGTCAGTGTTTAGTTCCTAGAATTATATGGTAGGCTGTGAGAGTTTATAACTGTTTAGACCAGACTGGTGACTATGATGGCAACAAAAGATATCCTCACACTCTTGTACTATCACGCCAGGTGGATATACAGCAAGTATCATCATCTAACAAAACCATTTTTACACCTTTGTTGAGTTTGCTCAAGAAAAAGCAGGTTTTTTAAGAAGTGGTTAGGGCTGGGGAAGCCTCATTTCAGGATTTGGTAAACATTGTCTGGAGGTGGAAGAGCAAGTCACCATTTCACATCTTGAAAGCATGTGGAGGAGCGTGGAGAGGTTAATTTTGGGGCATGCTGCTGGGCTGGCTGATGCATACGCTTTGTTGGTGGGTCACTGGGCAGTAGGAACGTGGTACTTCCCGACATGTTAGGTCCTCCTCACAGTGATAACCTTAGCCTTTGGGGCGTGGGTGGTGGGTCTGAAGGTCCCTACTCCCCCGATGCAACCAGCTTACTTGTTCTTACCGCAAAAACCCAGGCCACTTTGCTCCGAGTTGTAAACTACCCAAAAGTGTCGAATTGTAAAAGTAGTTCTGGTCCCCAAATCCAAACCAATAGCAACCACCAATATTGGAAGGCCCATCGAGGATCTCTTCTCTTCATTTCACTATGAGGGAAAAATTTCAATCATAGGGGTCTCGTTCTTTTCCTATTCATATACTACGTGATACAGGGCTAATCTATCTGCCTCCTGTTTAACGTCATTCCTGATATATCCGCATTTTACCTAATGAGAGTGTTCTAATTTCAGATCTCGCGTCCCATTCTTCCCTATCCTTTGCTTCAAAATTTTTCCTCAACCTCCCTTGATTACTGGAAGTGTGAAATAACAGCCAAATAGGAAAAGACCCCATGCCTGTGTGCATTTCAATTTATTATTGGGTAATGACTTGGTAGGAAAATCTGAGTAGTTCCCTAACATAAAGACAGTCGACTCTCCTTACCTGTCAACTCCACCACTGACCTTAAAAGAAACTATTCTGTCACTTACCATCTTGTGCTGTCTGGTCACAGAAATTGGCATGCAGTGAGCCTCTTTATCTCACGACCACCTCCAATATCTTACACTACCCACAGAAGATCTGTACAATAAGATATTAGTAGGATAGGCTCATTACAGCCCAACAATCTGATCCACTCCTTTTGTTTCAAACAGGTGATGAAAAGACCCCAGTGTGGACCATTGGCCACATCTTCGGCTTTACCACCACGTCCCAAGGTTTAGCGGAACGGTTCCATCAGCTTTCAAATCAATGCTAACTAAACTATACTCCTCTCAACTATATAGTCCATACTCTGATCACCGAAAGATTCACAACTTGTTCACATTAATCTCTGGCGACTTTACCATTTCGGAGCAGAAGTCAGAGGAAGACATCTGAGGCTATAAACCAACCTGTGCTGCATACGGTTTTGTCGGGGGCGGAGCCGGAGACAGATGACATGGACCTGTTGGAGAATTTAGACTTCCCTCTACCTAAAGAAACCCTGCTAACAGTCACATACTCAACAACTTGAGATGAGTATTTTCTGTTGGAATCCATCTCAAGCAAAAAAGATCTCACTGATTTATTATCAACATTTCCTAAAGTCGTCCAAAGCCTCCCGAGGGTTTTTAATATATTTAAACACCAAATATTAAGCTAATCTCCAGATGATGTACACAATACAGTAGGCAATCAGCCTATCGACTAAATCCACAAAAAAAGAGATTTATGAAAAAAGGAGGTAGATTTTTTTGTTAAAACACTTAACTAGCTGAGCCTAAATACCTCCCCTAAGGGCTTCACCTTGCCTTCTCATTCCCAAAACCCGATATGGCCTTTTCGTTTCTGTACCGATTATCGTAAGTGAGCCCAGGTCACTGTCTCGGACTTTACTACCCTTTACCTTTGATTAAAAGATATAATGAACCCAGCATAGAGGCTGTGCCCAATTTTATCAGTACGTGGACCTATTGAAAGGATATTATCAAGTGGGACTACGGATGAGGCAAAATAATCTCGGCATTTATAACTCCATTTGTTCTTTTTCAATATTTGGTTATGGCGTTTGGCTTTCTAATACTCCGGCCATTCAGAGAGGGCCATCAACTTCTGCTATTCAGGACCTAGGTGGGGACGTTCACTTACCACCTGGATGACCTGGTGGTGATGTCGGACAGCTGGGACAGAAACATCTGGTGCATTTGGAATACTGTTTGCTGCGACTGCAGGGGCTGGATTCACCATAAACCTGGCTAAATCTGCTTTTAGCAGACCTCAATGTTTTACCTGGGACATATCGTTGGGCATGGTGATGGTGAGACCAAGGACGCAAACGTTAGAGCCATCTTGTCCTTCCCCACTCGAGACGAGGAAAGACTCATGCTTTCTGGGATATTTGAAAATACTACCGTCGGTTCTGCAGCCTTCTCCAGCGTGGCGGACCCCTCACAGACCTTACCGGTTCTGGTCCCTTACATCTGGAGACCAGAAGTGCGACCAGTCTTTCCACCGCCTCAAAGCCTTCCTTGCGCCAAGCCTGTAGTCCACCCCCTGACTACACCTCGCCCTTCCATCCTGCCGTCGTGGCGCTAGTGAGTAGCCGGGAGTGGGGGCTGTGCTCCTACAACCCGACCCAACCACTGATGTCCTTCACCCTGTGGCACCATTACTCCGCCAAGTTGAAAAAACATCAGATCAACTTCTCGACCATAGAGAAGAGGCCCTGGCTCTGGTGTTGGCAATAAAAGTTTGAATGTTGCACTCCAGTCTTGCACAGCAACCCTAGTGTTACTAAAACCACCGCCCACTCCCGTTCATTCAGAAGCCAACAAGACCTCCAACAGCGAATCCTCCTTCGACTCTCCTCACACCCAGCCCTATAATCTACAAGTCCGGCACATAAGGGGGTGGA